ACTAAAATTGAATACATGGAATGTAATTTTAGTAGTAATAGCTCTAGTGACAGAAGTGTGACTTTGGGTGATCAAATTATTAAAAGGTGTGAACGATTTAGATATCTTGGGTCCGTTGTCCAAAGCGATGGTGATATAGATGGGGATGTTAATAGTAGAATTCAAGTTGGTTGGTTGAAGTGGAGGAATGCTTCGGGCCTTTTGTGTGATAGAAAAGTACCGCTAAGACTGAAAGGAAAATTTTATAAGATGGTGGTGAGACCTGCAATGCTCTATGGCGTTGAATGTTGGCCTTTAAAAGAGAAGCATAATAATAAGTTAAGTGTTGCCGAGATGAGAATGATTAGGTGGATGAGTGGCTTTACACTTAGAGACAAAATGCGGAATGAATATATTCGTGATAGGGTTGGTGTAGCTCCTGTGACAGACAAAATTAGAGAAAGTCGTCTTAGATGGTTTGGTCATATTAAACGTCGACCATTAGATGATCCGATTAGGAGAGTAGATGTTTTAAATTCGACTTGTGTTAAGAAAGGCAGAGGTAGACCTAGGAAGACTTGGGCTTATTGTATTAAAAATGATCTTAATTTACTAGAACTAAATGAAAATATGACACTAAATAGGACGCAATGGAGAAAAAGGATTCATGTAGCCGACCCCACGTAGTGGGATTAAGGCTTTGTTGTTGTTGTTGTTGTATAGTTCAAGATAGTAGAGTCGATATTAACTTCGAAAAGGAGAATTAAACCCACAAAAAATAATTGTGATAGAGTTAAGCCACACTTGACAAAGTATTAATCCAAGTGCAATAGTACCAAAGTGTGGTTATTATATATCATAAACAGTCAGATTTTCTCAAGTGCAACTCAAAAACAATATTTTATTCACACTTTTCAATCTTTACCATCTTCCAAAAGTCTGACATGAATGTCTAATTAAGTTTCTTTGCCTAAAGATAGTTAATTACCACATTAATTCAAATAAAATTGACGAGGGGCTTTCCCTCTTCCCGCTATGGACGCGGGTGCGGGATTTTCCCGCAATAAGACGGGAAATGGGCCAGCCAACTGAACCGGCTAGCATGGGGGACCGGCCCAGGAGATCCAAAACACCGAGTAATTTCAAATGACACGGGCGGCCTTCTTTTGTGTCTCCCGCCCCGTCACACTTCCCGCTTGATCAAGCGCCACATTGCCGCCAATTCCTTTTCCCTCCTTCCTTCTCAATGATTTTTTTTATGGAGGTTTTCCCTTTCTATTTTTTCCTTGTGAAAGTCTTTAAATTACTGTTTTCTAGATTTAGTGCTTAATTTTTGTTGTGTTTGCTTTCGGACACCCTGTGTGGAGTCATTTTCCCCTTCGAGGGCTATATCCGAGGAGATGGTAGTGCTTTGGTTGTATCCTACTACGAGATGGTGATTGTATCTCCCTCGTTTATCTTCCATACTTCTCCTCCACTTCCCCTAGCCGCCGGCCACCCAAACAGCTTCCCTCTGCACTGCCACCCCCTTTCTACTGCAGCAAGTTGTTGTCCAACCCCCTTCAGACCCTTCCTGACAGCCCATCGGCACCCCTACAACAGCTACCTTACTGTCCCGACCTTTCCCATCACTGCCAGCCCTTTCCAGCTACTATGCCAACTTGCTACCCCACCTTTCAACCAAACTTTACCGCCCTTATGGTACACTTTCGAGGTGTTTGATTGTGTCATCCTATGTTTTGGTGATATTATTTTTAGTTTGTGTGTGTTGTAACCTTATTTCCCTATTAATAAAAAATATTTTTGTGGTTTGTGCTTCCTCCTCCGGTATCAAAAATATGATTGAAAACTCTTGTCACACAATCAATGATCACAACTCTTCAAAAAGTGTGATTATAATAAAGTAGCAACGATGGCAAAATATTATGCATATAATCACAATTATAAACAGATAAAAACTAATATTAGTCACATTTAATGCAATTGATAGGTATAGCATCCCGAATTTGAAGAGAGCGATCTAATGAGTGTAAGTGATTCTCAATGAAGAGGCCCAAACAAAGGGCAGACTCCTGACAATCATTTAATTTGAAAAACATCTAAGAGAAAAGTTACTATACTACATAGATTAAGGATTGGTCAAAATATATGATGTGCATAAGGTGTAATGGTAAAGTTTCAATGAAAATTTTAAAATTAAACATGTTCTTAATGCAGCATCTGTATAATAAGTGGCATCCTAAAAAATTACATAAACAAGGTAAAATCAATAGTTTCAACTTAATATGCGACAAGTTCAGCCAAAGTAGATAATATTTTGCAATGTCAACTAGGTCATTATAATTTATATCAAAGCTAAACATTCAGTATAATATATGCTCTAAAGATGAACAGAGCAAAAGCAAATGAGCCATGAAATCTTGAATCAAAAGAAAATAAGTCCAATGATGGTGAGAGTAATCATTGAGATAGAGATTCGTATAAATACCAGCTCAAAGCAAACTTTTAGAAACCAAGGGAGAAAGAAATGAACCCAATCACACATTAATAACAATGAAAAGATTATTGAACTATACAAAAAAATATTAGACAAAGTACTTGAGAAGCTTTTCGGTGTAACAAATTGACTCCATAATTAAGTATGTTCAATAGAGAACAAGCACCCAAAGAATAAATGACCTATTAGGAAGCTATACCAAGAAATATAGAAGTATGGCCTTATTCTAGTATGAAACAAAACTAACCTAAAGTAAGCAATAACTTGCATGGTGTGATTTAGGTGACAAGTTATGGCTTCATTGCGTTCATAAAAGCAAATAGATGAGTATTTAACATATCTAAAAGAAAACATTAAAATATGACGTCCTTTTAAGAGAGATCGATTCATCTATATTTTCAAATTAAACTTAGAAGCATGCATGCTGATTCCTCTTATCCTGATATTCTTCATAAGAACAACAATTCAAAGTTTACTTCCACATTATCTTCAACTTCAACTACTGGTTCAATTACATTAAAAGGCAGATGAGGTCCCTCTTAAAATCATATAATTCTTGAGCATCATCATTAATTTGAGATCATCTCTGAAAAGTGAGATAGCCCCAAAAATTCTCAAAGTTATGGCAGCAAATGGTACAACATGTAAGTTCTTCAAATGATGTATGAGAACCAAGTAATATTAGTTTCACCAAAACAACCATAAATCATTATACTAGTAAAAATGTAATAAAAAAACTATCATTAAACCAAATTACGGAAGAGTATTGAACCCATTTTAAATGAGGCTGACAAACTTCTCTTATAAGCCTATATTTAGTCCTCAAGATCCTCCCTTAGCATAGAGACTCTTTATAGGCTCCTTAAAATAGTTTTTTAAAAACTTTAGCATTTGCTAACTCTAGAAAACATAATTTTTTTTAAAAAATAGGCCTCAAAAATACCCCATTAAAATCCATGATATGTCTTAATATTCAACATATCTCATAGTGTCTTTGAAGAAGCCGAATTAATGTCTAGTTCAAGATATGAAATTTCAAGAATAAAGGTATATTCATTCAAAATCAAAGATAACCTATAGAAGACAAAATCCAAATCTATAACTGAAACCAAAGATACCCTATACCATTGTTATGACCCTCGGATCCCATAGACTAGGCAGACTCTAGTCCAACTCAAGACTTGCCTAGAAGCCTCTTGCCTTTAGAAGCCCTCCGTACTCATCATAGGTAAGTGATGAATCCCTTAGTTCAACTCTAAGTCAAACCTAAATAGAAACCCAAAAACTCAATCCCAAATCCAAACTAAGCCCTGTTGTGTAATAACTTTGGTCAACCAA